GAAAGCTGAAGAAAGCCTGTTCTCTGCATTATATAAATAGTGAATTTACAAAAGAAGGAAGAATAAAAGCTGTTAACCCATAAGGTCAATTGTCCAAGAAAGCACTTGTCACAGAAGCTCACACAGAAGTCTTTTTGGTCAAGCTGGATAATCCACAAAAACACAGGAACTTGACAGACGCACAATAAAAAGTTTAATTCTTTCCCAGTGTGATATGTCTTTATTTAAACTACATTTGTGGAATCTCTCGGGAACCCTCTCACACAAGCGCATGTCAAAGCAGGTGACTATTCTTGTTGCTTTCTTTAGTAGTTTGTTGTCATGCCGTCTCCTCTGGGCCAGTGTTATAGCACTTTGTGGACAAAGTAATTAGTGCACACACACACACACACACACACACAAAGCCACAGCTCGGCTCGGACAGCACGTGAGTAGGCTACCAAATTCAGCTTTCTGTCGCGCCTTCATCAGCAAATGCACACAAAGCACGTCGGAATGACAGTCTTGAAGAGTATCCACGTAAACGAGTATTGTTTCCGATCCGCACTTTACCGATGCGGTTTCTTCAACCCCTAATACTGCTCGGTCCCATCGCCGTATCGGCTCAAATGCATAGGCAATTGCACTTATTATGGACTTAACAGTGCTTTCAATGTAATCTTCCTCCATTTAAAAACAAGCGTGTGTTCAAAATGTAAAGAAATGCTTATATTACTTCACTGGCCATCGGAGCGAACCAACCCCGTGACGTCACATGTGGTGGTTCTGCAAGATGGCGGCGCCCTTGCTCTAAAAGCTATAACAAAACAACCTTTTTTCTTTAAAATGGTTACATTAATCATGTTTGTTATATATTTTTTAATCAAAGCGGAAATCACTTTACTAAATAATGTAAACTTGACTGACTGCTTCATTTCCACTTTAAGGTTCTATTATAATTATTTAAAATTTATTTATGTATGTATTTTTTTTATATATATATATATTAAGGACTATTATACTAAACAAAGTACTAAAGAAGAAGGCTAGTAAAATAATTGTTAAGGAACAAATTCCTTCACTAAAAATAAAACAATAATAACTGGCTCAATGTGATTAGTTTATATTGGCTAATTAGCAGGACTTTGGATTAATAATGCTGCAGAGTTTAAACAGTTTGGTGAAGTTCATTGTTGTCAAAAGTATAGGGTTCCTCAGGACCGTGAATCAGAAGCTAGATTGTGAAATAAAACTTTCATGAAATGCGTTACTCTCATGCTTAGCACCCGAAGGAGGAAAAGCTTCTCTGGTGTACTGTAATAAAGTACTGTAAACTGACATTAAAATGTAACTCTGATATGCCATCCTCCTCCACAGGAGAGAGAGAGAGAGAGAGAGAGAGAGAGAGAGAG